AAAAAAAAAAAAAATTTAAAAATTTAAATATTAAAAAAAGAATGAATTAATTAATTAAAATAATTAATTAAATTAAATTAGAATACATGTTTATGTTCAGTTTAAACAGCATACATTTACATCACGTACCTATGCGTGTTTACATGCGTGTATGTATGCAGCACAAAGTTGAACCAAAGCAGCAACAACAACAACAGCTGCGGGCAGCGCTGCCGACAGAGCTGCAGGCAGCGCATGAGCAGCGATTTTACTTATGGCTATAACTTTCTTCAGAATTGACCTATCATGATGAAACATTAGTACTAACTGGATGTACCTACCAAAATTGATTTTTAAATTCCGAGAATTACGGAAGTTATAAGAAAAAATACGAATTGCGGGGGAGTGGGGGGGTGTATCAGAAAAAATAAACAAACTCGTTCTGCCTAGGGCTTATAGGAACCTTGATACCAATTTTGGTTATCCTAGCTCTTGTACTTACTGAGATCCTTGCGCTCATACAGACAGACGGACGGACGGACATGGCTATATCGACTCGTCTTCTCATCCTGATCAAGAATATATATACTTTGTGGGGTCTGCCACGCCTCCTTCTGTGTGTTACATACATGCGCACAAAACTAGTATAGCCTTTCACCCTTTGGGTACAGGCTATAAAAACTCAATTGGAATACGACAACTTTCATAATACACGAAATATTTTGACCATTGTTAATTGGTACGACATTTTTTTTCAAAAAAAAAACTGTGAAAAACGTAAACAAAAAATGTAGAACTAACGGTAAATAGTAGTTTTAGTTTTTATCTCTGATTTGTGAGCACATTGGCACGTCGCAAGCCGAAATATCGAAAAGTCTAATGCTTTCTAAGTCTACAGTTCAAAATATAGTGCAAAGCTACAGAAAGAATATTCACTGTAACACTGTCGAGTCTCAAAAGTTACTACGTGTGACAAAAGAAGTTTGTCGAGTATAATAAAGGGAAATCCGCTAAGTACTGTGAGAGATATTTCTGCAAAATGTTCTGCAAAAATTGGGAAAACAGTGAAACGAGAATGGACGCAAATGAAAACAAGTAAAAAAGCTAAAGTCGGATGTCCCGACTTTGAAATACTCTGTACATATGTTTACAATAATTATAGAAAATAAAAAAATTAAGAAAATAAAAAAAAAAAATTGATCGATTTTACCTCTCACGGTATTCGAACTCACGTAAAGGGTTTATAATTGCACATTTACATAGCAATTGCGCCTGTGTGAGTGTATGTATGCCTATGCGCATCTATTCGTGTCTGTGTAAGCATTTTCGCAGTCAACCAAACAGCAACATCAACAACAGCCGCGGGCAGCGCTTGAGCAGCGCTGCAGCAGCGCTGCATCAGCAAATATATTTACGGCTATAACTTCTTGTTAAATCGGTCTATCATAATGAAATTTGGCATACGGACACATAATAACTAACTGGGGGTATTTCCAAAATTTTAGTTCGAAATTCCAAGAATTACGGGAGTTACGATTTGCGGGGTAGAGGGGGGAGGGAGGGGAATTCCAAAATATACATTTTCTGCGTATTCACATAAGGCATCTGGGACTAAAATTTGGTGTTCCTAGGTCTTATAGTCTCCGAGATATAGGCGATTATACGAATGGAAAATCGGGAAAACCCCCATAGGGGGGAAGTGGGGGGGAAAATCAAAAAAATAAAACAAACTGCAAAATTTTGTGTTGCTATCTCTTATAGTCTCTGAGATCCAGGTGTTCATACGGACGGACAGACGGACAGACAGACAGACAGGGCTAGATCGACTCGTCTCGTCATGCTGATCAAGAATATATATACTTTGTGGGGTCTGCCACGCCTCCTTCTGCCTGTTACATTTTTCAGCTCCCGCAAACCTAATATACTCTTGTACATTTCATGTACAGAGTATAACAAGAGGGGAATGCTAAAGTCCAGCATGCTGAACTCTTAAATACCCTGTACCACCCAAGCAAAAAAAAAAATAAAATTAAAAAAATTTAATTAATTAATTAAGTTAAATATAAAATATTCCATACATGCATACATACATTTACATCTACATCATAATCGTACCTCTGCGAGTTTGTGTACTTGTACAGGGTGCGCCATCTTTTATGTCGGTATGTAAACATTGAATATCTTTGAAAATAAACAACCGATTTTCAAGTATGAGATATTTATACTCTGTACATGAAATGTACAGAAGTATATTAGGTTTGCGTCAGTTGAAAAATGTAACAGGCAGAAGGAGGCGTGGCAGACCCCACAAAGTATATATATTCTTGATCAACGTGACAAGACGAGTCGATCTAGCCCTGTCTGTCTGTCCGTCCGTATGAACACCTGGATCTCAGAGACTATAAGAGATAGAGACACCAAATTTTGCACAAAGATGCCTTATGTGTGTACGCTGTGCAAGTTTGTTTTATTTTTTTGATTTTCCCTCCCACTTCCCCCCTATGGGGGTTTTCCCGATTTTCCATTCGTATAATCGCCTATAGCTCGGATACTATAAGACCTAGGAACACCAAATTTTAGTCCCAGATTCCTTATATGAATACGCAGAAAATTTATATTTTGGAATTTCCCTCTTTCCCCCCTCTCCCATGCAAATCGCGATTTTCTCTAACTCCCGTAATTCATGGAATTTCGAACTAAAATTTTGGAAATACCCCCAGTTGGTTATTACGTGATCGTGTGCCAAGTTTCACTATGATAGACCGATTTACCAAGAAGTTATAGCCATAAATATTTTTGCTGCTGCAGCGCTGCCCATGCGCTGCACGCGGCTGTTGTTAATGCTGGTGCTTTGGTTGACTGCGAACATGCTTACACAGACACGAATATACGAGCATAAACATACATACACTCACATAGACGCAATTGCTTTGTATATGTGCAATTATACACCCTTTACGTAAGTACGAATACCAAAAGATGTAAAATCGACCAAAATTTTTTTTTATTCTCTTAATTTTTTAATTTCTATAATTATTCTAAACATATGTACAGAGTATTTCAATTTCGGGACACCCGACTTTAGCTTTTTTACTTGTTTTTTTCTACTTTAGCATTGTATGAATGTTAACAGTTCCTGGAAAACATATAGATGCCTCTTAATTCTGCTACTCAGCATTGATATTTGCAGTCCAAACCAGCTCTCGTTGCAGTTGGAAAGCCTTTAGCTATTTGTACATATATAGGGTGACTTCAATATTTATTCAAAATCGTCATCTTGTCATCTGCCTTAAAACTCGTAAGAAAGCATTTTATCGATTGCAGCCAGAATGGCAAGCATATTAAGCATACGCAGTGTAGTGCCCTTCTGTGGCAGATTAACTTCAACAGAAAACTGGAAATACTTTAGTCGCAAAATTGTCATTTCATTTTCTTGTACACACACACACACACACACACACACACACACACACACACACAGTCAAGTATGCATTTATGTATGCGCACCTAAAATTAGCATTTAATTTTATGCAAATCAAGCTGGAACTGAAACTCACGCGCTTTGTGGAATTGCGCGTCGAGTTGTGAGTAGTGCTCGCATGTCGGCATCTGAATAATTTAGCGACTTACATTTACCGAAATTAACGCACACACACACACACACACACACACATGCTGTTATGCATGCTCATGCATATATAAGTGTGGGAGAGGGTGGGGTGTGTGCAGCAAATGGGATTTGGGCGACTAATTGCAAAGTACTTAAGCAAAGCTTAAACAAATGTAAAAGCAAATTTTTCATAAATTATTAATGCAAATGGCAGTCGCAAAAGAAGAAGAGAAACTTTGTTATATTTTTTCTCCATGCATGCCACAAATGGAATGCTGCGATGAGTGCTGAAAGGTTTCATTGAGTCATGCGATGCTGATCTGAGCCGGATTTCCATTTCTCCACGTGTCGATAACACTACGGCCGCTTTGCAGACAAAGCAATCACCGGTCCGCGTAATAGATATAAAAGGATTTCGTTCTGGCAATACACTGCCTTGTTTGTTTGGCTGGCTGTCTGTCTGTCTGCCTGTAGTATGTCTGTTTGTTTGCTTACGCCGAGCGCTGTCATCGCCACGCAGTCAATCTCTATGACTGACTCACTGTCCACATGGAGATTTCTGTTCCAATTATAGCCAGACGAGTGCCCCTTGCCACTGTTTTTGTTGTTGTTGCAGTTGTTGGCCACGCTTGGTTATTACAATATGAATGGACGCGCGAGAAGCGTGAATTTATTCATTTGCTTGTCTCTGTTTTGACAACCTCTCGAGCAGTCGCAGCCCCTGCCCGGGTTGCCGCGTATATGGGAGAGTCTGAGCAGTGTATCACACAAATCGGATTAAGAAATTTCGTATTCGTTCGCACATAATTGAATAGGTTTGGGTAAGTGTGTGCGTGTGTGTGTGTGCTCGTCCACCGTAAATGAGAAGCAAATTTAAAATTTTACACTTGACTTAGTTGAGTTGTCATGCCATTTCACACGTCACATCCACACAAGTAGTCCTGGGAGCCGGAAAATTGCTTTTGGCCTCTCACATCGAATTGCACAATCAACTTTATTCTTCTTCTTTTTTAATAACTTTTAAAATGTTTATTTCTGCTTGACTTTACATTTACGGATTTATTTGGTTTTGTTTTTGATTCTGTTTGCCACTTACATGCTAAAATATACATAGTATGTTTGTTTTAAGCTATACTATATAGTATATTGAAGTAGATTACAGTAACATCTTTGGATTTGAAGCCTTAACATACTATCATTTATTTATACAACACAAACTTAGGCATAATTATGCTATATGTATGTACAGTTAGGCAGCCGAACTCAATACTCAAAGCAGTTCAAATTCAATTTACAACAATCCGCTGCACAAACATCACAAATGGACCGGCCCCAGCTCCGGATCTTGATCGCCTATTCACTTGCCCCGCTTCTCGAGTAGTTGCAACAAACGCTGTTGCATCTTGCAATTTTATGAGTGCGAATGGCTCAAGTGATGCGCCCCCAGTGGGTGGAAGTATGGACCGTAGGGCGGGTAGGGCACGGCATGGGGGTAGAGCAGGCTGCTGGCATAGGCACCAGGTCCGAAGGAGCCACCCGAGGGCGGTGGTATGGTCGGACTGTTGACATCCATGCCCGGGTTCTGCTTCTTCCATTTGGTACGCCGGTTCTGAAACCAGATCTTGACCTGCAAGTGATGGAAAACCAGCAAAGAAATTAACCTTGTGCCTCGCTAGTAATTAGCATTCTCAGTTGACTTACCTGTGTCTCAGTTAAGCTCAAGCTGAGCGCCAGATTTAAACGCTCACACACGCTCAAGTAGCGCGTCGTCTTGAACTTGTTCTCGAGGGAGACCAGTTGCTCGTAGGTGAAGGCTGTTCGAGCACGTCGAGGCTTGGAGCCACCACCGCTTCCGCCCTGCGATTTTCCATCGCCATTGCGACTGCCGCCTTTCTTCGAATCAGTTTCGCTGTTGGGATCATCAATGTCGCTGCCATCATCGCACATGTCATCCTGATCCATGTCGTTGAGATCCTGGGCTGCAATGAGTCAAGCAGAAAAACTTTTGCATAAGCCAACAGCCATGTCATCAATCAAGCCCGGAGGACAAGCAAATCAATCAAGCCCAACCACACACAATCGTAGGCGAATTCATTGTGATTTAATTGGAAAAACCGGGCACATGTCGACCACCCACCTGAGCCCCAGATGTGAGCCAACTGGGCGTGTAGACTCGAGTCCGGAATTGATTGCAATGATGCGGCAATCAAAATTCAATTAAGAAGCCAGCTGTGCACAGCCCAGTGACCGTGCACAGTGGAGCGCTTTCGAAAAAGTTTGAATTAAACTACATATGTTAAATGTTATTCAGGTAGTAGAAAAAGTTTGCGTAAACCACCACATATTTTAGATGTTACTCAGAGAGTAGCAATAAATGAAGTTAATAGTTGATGAAATCGTTGTATCATTGCAAACTATTTTCAATTTTAAAAAGTATTTAGTCATTTCAGCAATTTCTAAATTGTCTTCATTATTTATTTCAAAGCAATTTCATGGCTAACGCAATTGCGATTTCATTTTTACTAAAATAATAAAATATATTGGCTTAGCTTTAAAATATATGTCGGCAACATAACTCAAGAACCGATTTAAGTCTGTATTTATAATTGAAAAAAAAAACTGATCCTAGAGTTGCGCATGAACGGAGTCGGTTAAATAATTAAAAAGGGCGATTAAAAGGCATCTTGAAGCTTGAGCAAAAAACAACTTCTAACATTCCTGAATTCTTAATTTATTCCCATGGTACTCGTTACTGCTGTTACCTATGCAGCTCAGATAAGCGACTTTGCGAGTCGCTTTTTGTGCCTGTCTGACCCGCTTGACCATCACATATATAATAGGAAGCCGTCAATCAGTCGCGCATAATGAGTCCCTTTAGCTGCGTTATGGTCTGCTCATTCATAGGTATTGGCCAATGATGTAACTTAAAATGTCTTAAGAAAGTGATATCCGAGTGCACAGCTAGCTTGTTAGCAAATTAGCCAGACAAGGCGAAAAGAGCGAAAGATTGGCCCCCAATACTTTTGTTGCGTGTTTGTGTTGTCAAGCCTGAAAAGGGTCGGTGAAGTGTCAACCCTAATCAAAAGTGCGCGGGCGATAAGAAAAACACTTTGTTGCGGTTAAATGTCCTACGCCCAAAAATATGCAACATACTTGTAAAACGCCAACACAGATGATTGCAATGCCTTCCGGACCATGAATGTGTATGTGGCTCGTAATTGGTCAACATGTTTGGGCCATATTTGCATGTAATTAGCTTAGCTGCGCCTAAAAGCTCGCTGCGCCGAGCAGGCTCAGCAGGCGGAGCGGAAGCTCCTAAATGGCCGCCACTCGCGGTAATTAAACAGAAAATTAACATGAACGCTTCATTTAATATTTAACGAATTTGCAACGTTCGCTTCACTGGCCTCCGATGGAATGCAATGCAATCCTTTCATATGCAAATGAGCTGCCATTGCCGACTGGCATTGAAATTCGCTTTGCGCACCGGTAATGGGCTGTGGAGTGTTTGCTGCCACTTTGATATGCGTTAATGGCACATTAGAGGCCGCCGTCAATAGACGCATTGACAAACCTCTGCGCGCCGACCACAAATGCGCTGCCAATGACTGTCGACTGGCTCCACTGACCACAACTGGTTGGGGTCAATTGAATTAACTGGGTGAGGGGGAGGGGTTGTGCAACCAGCCAACCGGCAAGGCAGACATACATACAGACGTTTAATGCGTTTGCAAACAATCGCGGAAAAGTTGGGAGGGTCGCAGACAGCACGCGGTTGAATGGAGTTGACGATGTGGGGATGGCTCCATGGAGTGTGCAAAGCGAACAGTAACCACAGCTGGTTAATAAGCACTTCACTCTAGTCACCTAATTAGGGGGGTTTTTGGGAAGTTGAAGAATTTGTGTCGAGCTCCATTTAATTATACTTTAAATTTTACACAAATTTACTGGCAAGCTCGAATTACAGAGCAATGTAAATTGCTATAAGGACTAACAAGCAACTCTAGTTTCTAATATTCTTCAATTAATTCTTACAATGAATTCTTCTATGAGAAGAAAAGGCGAATATATTTAATTATGAGGATAAGCATGACGTTACAAAATCTTTTTCAAAAATGCGATTACTGTTTACATTTTAAAATTGTGTGCATTTGTGGAAATAGCAATTCCATAAGTTAGCAGTAAATTAATAAAGTGTCTATCAATAATTTACAAATACCCGATTATAAAGGAAAACTGAAACAAGTGCAAGAATTGGTCCGTATAGGACACGGCCGAAATACAAATAGCAACCCCTTATATGCATTAACACAATGTACAGTTCCTTAAAAAATTAGTCTAGATAGCTTACTATTCAAAAAGGAACCTAAAATCTAGGACTTAGATTATTGTGTTCCTTAATATTGTGTTTAAATAAAATGTACACACATGATTCTTGTTTGCTAAGTTTGGTGTCATATTCTATGTTATAAGAACAAGTAAGAATCTTCCTAAAGCCTATGCATTTATGAGTTCACAGATACAGATAATACTCATAAACTGATTCTTTCAGGTTGAAATTTTAATAGACATGATTACATTATTTGAGGCTAAATGATGGGAGCTTATACAACGACTCTTATCATTACCGTCTTTTATCGGCCGCTTTATATATATATGCCCATTTGTGAAATGACTGCAGTTAATTATAATTACGCCGAGATCGTTTCATAAGCAATTTCCATGCCACGAGAGTTTGTGTGTGTGTGTTTGTGTGTGCCACATAAAGGGCCGTTTATGGGAGCACAAGAGCTCAGACATCCAAACAACACTCATTTGCTCGCACACACAGAGCTCCACACATACGCAGACAGCAGTCACCATGGTGCAATTTAAAAGGCAAGTAGGACCCACTTGGGAGCCACAACGGCAATTTAAATTAAAACGAGACATGGCCGAGCGAAAAGAGAGAGAGAGAGAGAGAGAGAGAGAGCGAGCAGGGGATGTCAATGCACGGGTAAGCGTGCTTTTGAAGCCATAAACTTAATTATGAAATCCGAGTGTTAATTACCACAACCGCCATATAATTTACCAACACGAACGCAAAAACACACAAGCGCACACACACAAACACACACACACATACACACACACACACTCTAACAAAATGGCTTATAAATTTTTAGCTTTTTGTGCGTTCATGGGATTCATTGTCGCAATCATTATAATCGCATCCGCCTGGCCAATGCGACCCCGGGGAGCATTTGTCGTCTCATTTTGCCATTTTCATAAAATAATAAATGAGTTGGCGCCAATGATGGCGACAAGAAAGCAGCCAGAAAGCTGGGCATAAAAAGCAGCAATGGCAGGCAGTGGAAATTGTTACGAAAATTGTCGCGTAACTTTACGAAAATTGCGGACACGCATAAGTTATCCTGCTGCTCCTGAGTAGAAACACACACATTCACACAGCGCACAGACCCAGCAGTGCTGCGAATACTCTCTGCGAGGGTGTATGTGTGGATATGTGTGTGTGAGTGTGCGTGTGAAAGAGAGCGCTGCCTTCAGCTCACCAAATTGAGTGCCGAGTAGAATAAAAGTTTTCGCAGCCATTTTATATTTTTGGGGTTGGTAGCAGTGACGACTCCTGCCTGGCCCCCACCCATGACCAGCTCTTGCTGTGCCACCCACATTTAAATGTTGCCACATAACCGTTTTAAGCATCCACCCGCTGCGGCCCAGTTCCATTTCGCTCCGATCCGTATAGCCAGCCCACTTGGTTATCGTATGTTTTTTCATACGCCTTGTGGGGCGCATTCAGTCCAGGGGCTATGTCGGCACATCCAAGCATGCCATAGCTTCCAGTTATACAAGAAGTTCAAATTGCTGTTGCGAATTGGTTCGCTAGCCTGGCTAGCCACCGACAACCTTCGCCGCCTTTCTGTCTCCATTATAGACCATGGTTTGTGGCTTTTTCTCGAGTGCCTGTGACTCTTTTTTATTGCCTTGTCTAGTTTTATGCGCTTCTAAACAGGTACCTAAACAGACACCAGCACTCAAATTTCTCCTATAAATTTAAAAATATTCATGTTTAAAAAATGTCCTTAGTGGAAATTGCGATTCACTTCGAAACAGTCTTACAGCAAGATTGAATTAGACAAGAAATATAATAAAGTAGTATAGTAGACGTATATCTATAAGAAATACAAATCCAACAAAATGGATTGTTGCAGTCGATCCAGCTCAACATTGAAATACCCAGTACCGGAAAAATATTCCAAACGCTATGTTATACGTGTTGTTGAACGGACGTAGCACTTGCTTCAGTAATTACTTCTCTAGGGTCTGACTGATTTGAATGATAATCAAAATGAAGAAGATAGAGAAATACTTGTAGCTTAGAAATTGAGTACAATACAGAAATAAAAAAATGTTGCAAAGGACTAGAAGAGTCGGAATACTTAGTATAAAAAATGTGGAATCAGACGTTTCGCATATCTAGGCGTTCATAAAGACAGAGAGATAAGTGGACAGGGGAAAGGACACACGTCATCCTGACTAAGAATTTGTATACTTTAAGGAGTTCAAGATGCTTTATTCTGTCCGTTATATACTTTACACAAACATATAAATGCACCCTTTTTCCGCTTCGGAAAAAAATTTTATTTCCGTCAAAGTAAAAACTATAATTTTGAATTGCAAAACTGTTGAACAATAAATATTTTTAGACCCTTAAAAGACTATAAGTCTCGTAACACATATTATAAACTATATGTCTACGTACTACTCAAAGACAATGGAAACTGAAGAAAATAAGCTAAGGACATACAATTAAAAAAATGTATATTTGCTATGCAAGAAGGCATTGTAAATTCATTCACTTCTTACATCATGTTTACAAAAAAACTTGCTATTACTTCCTCTCCTATTTTTTAGTGTAAAGAGTAGATAAATATATAACATTTATTTGATGCTGATTGTTGTTAATTGTTAACCAATTAGAACATCAGTCAGCAAGGTATCGAAATAGCTATTTTGGAGAGCCCCAACTTTTTCTCTTCCAAAGCCATTGCTTTCCGACCCACAACACTAGATGCATTATCCCGTGCTGAAACGATGTAGAATATTGGTTATTGGTTCAAAATTAAATGAAATTTCCACAAGAATGTTGTGATGGCTTTCTTGCATATTCTTAATAAGACCAGCCTTTCGACTATATTTTGTTAGGCTCTACAATTTGAATAATATGCAAATTTGTAGCACAACTATATGGGGCTTTAGCGACCTCCTCATGCATTTTACGCACATACACACCTTCCAAGATTACAACGCTATGTACGCTTTAGGCTTATAAAACATTAAACACATCTAAACACAATAGGCTTGCCAGCCACTGTCATAAAATATAATTAGCCGGCAAACAGAGTGGGTGTGGGGGCAGGGGCTGGCAGGGACGATAAGACAATAGGCCGCATAATTGCGCCAATTTCAACCAGAAAGCGAGGCATCGTGCACATTAGCACTTGCTGTCATTGTAGCCAGTGCTACGCAGGCGGGGCAGGAGTCGGGCGACAAGAGGACTCTTCTAGTGCTCAGACTACACGCCTCACACACTGTAGCAGGTCCCTGTAACCGCATCATTGAAGCGCCTAATGAATGTGTGGTAATTAAGTACCTTGCTAATTAATGACTACAGCAACACCAGAGCCAAAATGGCCGGCCAGTCATCCACACAACCGAAGCAGCCAACCAACGACAAGTCTTGAATACGAGTCGGCAAACAATGCGTATGCGTAATGCACACACACACACACAGACACACCCACCACTCTCTCTCCCATACACACACACACACACACACACTAAAGCAATATGCAAAGCGCTATGGGGTGTGGGCTGCCAGATGCAATGGCAGGGCTGGCTGTAAACTTGAACTGGCAATAAGCTGACAGCAGCAACAACAACAACAGCAACAACAACGGCACTTGGGCATCAACATAATTATTTCGAGTATCATTATCGCAGTGAGTCTGTCCGTTCGCCTGTATGTAAGTATGTGCGAATGTATGTGTGTCTGCGTGTGCGTGTGCGTGTACCGGGGCCTGGGGTCGTTGGTGGGGTCCCATTCAGTCTGTTTTATTAGCAGTTATGTTCGAGAGCTACGCTAACGACTGCGACGAGGACTAGGACGAGAACGAGGACGAGGTATAAGCGAGGATGCCGACGCCATTGATGAAGTTAATTGTGTTTTATTAACACAAACAACACAAATGCTCAAACAGTATTTGGCGGGCGGCAAGTGCGAGCTGCCAACAAATAGTCGTCTACCAACAACATTCCGGAATGCCGATAATAATGGTGTGCACTATTCTCTCTTATCCTCTCTTTCTGCCGGTCTCTCTGTTTAGTTTCGAAAGTAAGCGCCTTTTGTGGCTGCTCCATTGAAGTGAGTTTGATTGAGTGTGAGATGTTGGGCGTATTGTCTGCGAGTACCCGACATTATAGCATATTTATCGTAACAAATCGGCGGTATTACAGATTGTTGTGGTTCCTACCGGTATCAGCTATAAAGAGTTGATGAGTATTCGTGCAAATAAAACGTCTGAGCAGCGAAAGAGTTTATAATATTAACAACATAAATTGTACCTTGATCACACATTAATAAACATACATATATTCAATATTGCAAAGGTTTAAATACTCTGCATAGCTATACATAATATTTAGTCATTACTCGTAATAACTTGTATTTATTTAATAGCCATTATGGACATTGTCAGGTTGCCATCGGTTTGCATGACAACTTATCTTTCAGAAACTGTTTAATTGCGCAGAAATCAGAGCTTTTTCTTAATCCCTACAGTATTTGATGTATGTAAAATATATTTAAAAATGAATTGAGCATATTTTCGAGTAAATTTGAATCTAATTAATCTCGTTAAATGTTCGTCATGTTCGATTTGGAACCGTCTGCCTCAATTGAAACACTTTTACAAGTTGATTAATTAGTACTAGACTAAGATTAAAAACATACCTTATTTCAACTGAAAAGTAGCTTGAAGTTTTTTATTGTTCTACAGGTGCATCTTTTAATTAACATCTCTAGCTTATTCACGTATTCAAACTGTGCCCAATCCATTATGCTCTCCCCCTTTTCAAATATTTGTCATAATCAATTCAGTCTGGCAAAATGCCGCATCCTCAGTCCTTTCGGTATTGCCTTATAACTGCCAACCACAGTCAACATTTGTGTTGCTGCTTTGGCGAAGCTTAACGGCATTCAACCTATAGCTAGAACAACGTCTGCCATCCACACCCTCCCCCACATTGCAACAACTTCAATCAAAATTGCAAATTTTTATTTGAGCAATTTCTTTGCAACGAGTCAAGCATGAAAATCAATTAATTTTCAGCAAAAATTTTAGCAGCTCAAAAAAAAAATTGTAAAAAAAATTTGGGGAAAATGGAGCAAAAATAAAATTTATGCAGCAATTGCTTCCCCCCCAATTAAAACATCAATCAATCAATTAAAACAAATTCCATTCAAAATCCCCTTTGAATATGATTGCTTTGTGCTGCCCCCTCATCCTCCCTTTCCTTTATTGACTAAACAAGTTTGCGCCTCAGATGATTTTTTCTTTGCGTTTACATTTGTTTGGGTTTGAATGCTTTAGCTGAGTGAGTGAGTGGAGCAGTGGAGCTATGGAGTGGTGGTGTGTTACGTGACTTGTGCCTGAAAGCAGGCAACAAACCTGTGCACATGAATCTCTGCAAAATGGCAACTTTCGCACTCACACACGCCCACATAGACAGACACACACCCACATGCAATCGAATCAAAATCAAAACATACCAAAAAGCTACAAGCGGCAGTACAAATACAGACAGCATACACACACATATACACCAACACACGGCACTCATATGTATACACATTTACATATGTTCAGTTAAAGCAGCAAGGGTACAAAAAGCTAGAAAACGAGAAACAACAGACCGAATTGTCTGCAGGTGCGCCATGTTGTGGGAGTCTGGCTCGGCGAAGGGTTACTTTCGATATTATAGAGGGGGAACGAAATCGAATAGAGAGATTGCCAAAGTTCAAATATACTTATGTGTGAGTACATACAACTAGAGGTAGGTGCTATATGTGTTGGTAGCAGTTTTATAGCTTTAACTCAAATTGAATCGCCAATCAGTTGCCAGCTCAGTGATTTTAATGACTTACCAGACATATCCTCGCTCTGCTCATCATCGAGACGCTCGTGCATTTCCTCATCCCGTTCGAAGTTCCATTGACGCGCATGACCGAAAGGTCCCGCTCCCGCTGTCATTTTATTGCCCGTAAATTTATTCGGATCCAAAATATTCTCCACTGAAAAGGCCAAACGTTTGGTAGGTTCCTTGTCACACGACGCGCTTGTCGATGAGGAGCTGGCATTGTTCGAAGTGGGCACAGATCGCGTGAGATCAACGGGACAAACCTAAGATAGACCAGAGAATTGCTTGTATACTATAACAAAATAACTGGTTCGATTACTTATATATTTACGTATGTATGTATAATGTGGGCATTATATAATTTATTTTTGATAAGAGAAAGGTGTAAGTTTATTTTTTCCCCCCCACTTCTTCTACTCCTCATTATGCACCACTGCTCCAAGTATGAATTGTTCCAATCCACGCAAATAAAATTTGTTAAATAATGAACATTTTAATAGTAGTAGAATACTGATAAAAAAAAAACATTTAGATTACTACTGTTATCGTGATATTTCGCAAGAAGCCCTTTTTAGCTGTTTAATGCCATATTTCTTGATCTAATTAAATTTGTGTATTAAAGATATTGATGTTTCAAATGTGGACTCTTTTCAAATTCGCAGCTCAATACAACAATTTCATTTCTGTTTCAGGGTCCTCTGTGTTATGCAATACACTTTAGTGAACGCGCATTAGGGATTTGGCATAAAGACCTGTGCGTCGCACTACTTGTAAACATCTATCAGGTGTTCCCATGATAAGCACGTTGAAGGAAATAATAATAGAAATATTATACAAATTCCAACACAACGTAAACCTTTACATTCCCCATCATCTCCGGCTACTCACCGATGGTGCACTGTGCGATCCATCGTTGCTATCCTCGTCGTTTCCATCGACATTCAATTCCTCACTGGTGTCGCTCCGCGCATAATTAGCGGCTGCGATTTGGCGGGATGTGGCTGCTGCCGCCGCAGCCGCAGCTGCTAATCCGCCCAGCTGTATTCTAAAGCCATAGTCACTTAGCTCCGGGCGTGCACTGCCCGGCGAGGCGATGGATGAGGTGGCCACGGCAGCAGAAGTGCCGGCCACTTGGCCGGAGGAACGCGCGGCCACAACCTGCGCCGCTGCCACCAGTTTTATGCGCTCCAAGTCCATATCGGTGGCGGCTGCGGGGCTGGAATGCAGCAGCTGAATAGACGGGGGCGGTTGTTGTGGTTGCAGCTGTTGCTGTGGCATGACGGAATGTGGTTGGCTTGCTGGTGTGCCACATGCGGTGGCTGTGGGTGAATTGGCCTGCTGGTCGGAATGCATTTGCGTGGGCGTCGGCGGTGATGTTGGTGGTAGTGGCAATGATGGTGGCGATAACGGCGAGGTGGCTGGTGAAGGTGGTGCTGTGCTGGTGGCACTTGTGGTGGTTGCATTGGCCAAGGGGTTGGGAGTCACGCGCAAATGGAAAGCGGCTGCAGCTGCCGCGGCATGATGAGGATGTGCATGCGGATGAGAGTGCGGATGCCCATGCGAGTGGGAGTGGGAGTGCGGATGGTGATGATGATGGTGGTGCATATGTTGTTGTTGCTGCTGCTGCTGATGCTGGGCAGCCGCTGCAGCCAGAAACTGTGGATTCTGCAGCAGATGCGGATGTTGCTGCAACAACGCTGCGTGCGGATGCTGCAGTGGCTCCGGGCGCGCCAAGTGGCGCACCGCACTGAGCTCCAGGAGCTTACGCTGCTGTGCTGGACTGGAGAAGCTAAGCGCATTGCCGACGGGCGGCGACTGCGAACGATTGCGGGGGGTAGTCGAGTTGGTTGCGTTTGCTGCTACTGTTGCTGGCGTGGCGTTCTGGTTGGCTAGACTTGTGTTGTTGTTGTTATTATTATTAGAGCTGTCCTCCTCATGCGAGGGACTGAGCTGACTGAACAAATGTGACTCGCTGCTCATTTGTTTGAGGCGCTCCAAGGAGTAGCGCAAGCCCTCCTCCTGCTTGGAGGCCTGTCCATTGGAACTGATAATGAACTTGGGCAGCTTGGCTGGCGTGATGGTGACCGTTGTTGTCGCTGATGTTGTTGTGCTGGTGCTGCTGGCGGCTTCGGGGCCGCTGCCAGTGCCATTATTGCTCAGCTCTGGCGATGTGTTGGATTTGGGCGAGTCGGGATGCGAATTGGGACTCATCAGAGCGCCAACAGTGGGACTATCGTTGGGCTTCTGCACCGGGGACTGTAGCATAACCATCTTAAAATAGTCTTCAACAGCCGGATCTTTATCACTGTGTCACAATTTTCTCACTAGTTCGTTCACACTTGTCACTTGCTAAGGGAGCACCGAACCCAAAGACACGTCTTAGAGTTTGCCGTTCTGTCCGTGCGCAGTACTTGTCGCTTTGATTGCAGCCAATCGACTGTTACTGATTCCGTGGCCACAGTCCGGCCTACCTCTCAATAGCTCTGCCCGCTTATCGCTCTAGTATCTGGAAGCGTAATCCGCGCGCGACGTACTGCACGCAGCTAGAGCTAAAACCGTAATGCCAATGCCAATGCCCGTGCCAACCCCGTCGCTCAAACAGAGGGTTGCACGCACGCACACTGTCGCACACTCGGCCTGAGAGTGAGTGAGTTTCCGGATGCGATGGCGCTGCCGCTGCCGATGCCGCTGTCGCGTGATAATCCAATTGTGCTGACAACTTGTCCGCGTGGCCTGTGGCAAGTCAACTAAATGGAAAGTGAAAAAATCTGTTGCCGCATCTTGCTGCTTGGTGGTGGTGATGGTGGTGGCTATTTTGAGTGCAAACGCCGCTTTCTCGCTCTTTCGCTCTGTCACTCTCTCGCACTCGCTTGCACACGCCCCCAGCAACAGCTGGTGCTCCGCATTGAGCCGTTTGCTTTGAGCATCTTGGCTCCTCCCTTCGCCTGCTCGGTATCATCGTCATCGTCATTATCATCGCCGTAGTCGTCGTCCGTCTCTGGGCTTATCTGCAACCACACATCTAATGATTTAATTTGTTTTCCACTCGTTAGTAAGTGTAATGGTCTGTTCGAAGGCAAAGGCAGCTTAGCCTGCATCCCTCTGCTAGTGTGCTCCGCTCACCCCACAGCCCTCACGCATCGGCTAAACATACATATAGTACTATGCCCGTACATATCTTTTCACTCAGTCACGCTCACTCTGGCGCTCATCGTTCGTCGCTAGTCGCTCGTTGCTCGTCGCTCGTCTGGATGCGCCAAGGATGTGAGTAATTGTCAAATTATTTAGCGCAAAATTTGTTTGTTTATACGCTTGGGTGGCTGGGAAATGGATCTCAGCTTTTTGTGTTTTAAATTTTCTGCAGTCTGTTGTTGCTGCTGCTGCTCCTCTAGCTGCTTCTTCTCCGCCTTCGTTCGTTGTTATTGTTGATGGTGATATGGTTTTTGTTGTGCTCGTTGTGGCTTTATGCTTTTGGCGTATTTCTGTGGCTGCCAGGCTGGCATCGTCATCATCACCTTCATCATCATCGTCATCGTCAGCATCGCCATCGTCATCTTCATTGTTCTGCCATGCACGCATGCACATTTTTTCAAGGAATGGGTGGGTACTGTGCTTTCTGCCTGGTTTATTCTTAGTCATATATGCATGAATGCTTTATGCATTCGCGAGCTGCCAATTTACTTTTGTGCCTAAGTAACTTTATATATAGCAAAATCCAAATTGTAACGCTAATTAGCTGCAAGGTACATTGAAAGAAGACTTATCTGGGCCTGGGGGGTCACGTTATTTCTAGACCATGGATTACTTTAAGGACAAGTATTTTAAGCAAACGTTTACGTTCCTTATAGCCACTTAGCCTTTCTCACATTGTTCCCCCCTTACGCTTGCACTGGCACTCACAAAAAAGCACCCACACAGATACACTCAGTCGATGTCGCATGCTCACATTTATTTTTTCTCTTTTTCTTTCATATCCTATATACTCGTACATACGTAAGTGTATCACTCAAAAATGCTGGAGCAGTGTGACAATATGTTCTCGCACTCTTCCAATAGCAGCCCCTACATTTTGCCGCTCTCACTCTCTCCCCTAACTCTCAATCGCTGTCGCACTCTCTGCGCTGGCTCTCAATTTGCAGAAATTGTTTAAATTGAACACAAATTTATATGCGCTTTGCACAGCCAATTTAATATCGCATCCAATTTGCGGTTTATACGCATCGCATCAGAGGCAGAATGTTGTTGGAAGGTGTTGGTGTTGCTGTTGCTGTTGGTTGGGAGGGAGAGGGAGGATGGCTTGCTAAGTGGATAGGCGCTGCTGCTGTTGACGCTGCCCACCCGGACTTGAGCGCACAATGGGGCGTATAAGTGACATCGTTAAGTGGTCGGACGCAGGCAGCAGAAGTTGCTGCTTAATGAACTTCAACGGCATTTGTGCCTCGACGTTCTCATTCTTATTATTGTTGTTGCTGTTGCTGCTAACGTTGTTGTTGTTGTTGTTGGTGTTACTCCATGGCAGTTTTAAGCGTGCTGTTCTACCAGGCTCTCTCCGTTTTTTTAACCCCCGCCCTGTCCGCTATTGTTATTTTACATAGTTGGTTGCTTCTGGCGTGGGCGCTGGCTGGGCCACTGCCTGTCTTTCACTCCTCCTTGCCGTGGAGTCGTGGAGCCGTGGAGCTGGAAGCTCGCTCGGCTTCAGTTTGCTATAATTAAGCACAAAATGAGCGGAGGCAGCAGACATTCTTAATGAGCAGCTTGTTATGCCTTTTTCGTTTTAATTAGTTTTAAGATGCTTGTTACCAACACTAGCGCAGAATGTCAATGGCGGCACTCGCTTTAATTGGTCCATTGATGAACGCGTTCCGACTGCTGTTGGCTGTTCTGTTCTGGCACACCGTTCTGTGTGTGTGTGTGTGTATGTGTTTATATATAAGTACTCGTATTAGCACACTGTGCGAATGATTTGTGTCCTTTACAGCCAACGTACTGTGAGTTCAATGACTTAGACAGGGTCGAAATGTCTTTATCTCTTTATTGCAATAAGAAAAGTATAACACACAAAATACACAATTAAATGATTTCGTGTCTTCAATGTTCCTCTTAAGTGTGTTTTGAAGCAATTGCACATTTTCGTTATAAATATTGTTAACAGCTTAGAATTATTGATTTATATATTAACTCAATCTACAGAACTTCATCGTAAATTCGCATATCAGTCAAACTTTACATCACTTCGCTTCCACTTAAGATAAGTAAGTAATATATAAGAACTAAAAATGGACGTTATGGCAATAAAAGCATATCGACTAAAATGCTTTTGTAATACTATTATCAGTCATGGTGCTGCTTGCTAACTGGATATCAGCTTTTTGTATAGTTTTAGTAATACTCAAAGTATTAATCAAGTTCAGCTTTTATACAAGTATAAAGGAATTGTTAGGGGTTACATGAAATTCTCACTGGACAATCGATAAAGATAGCAGATTCTAACGCACCAGTCGACATATAGATAGCGCCACCAGGGGGCGCTAGATTCCAAAAAATCCTGATTACTTTGGAACGCTTCTTGTATGTATTATATTAAATGAAATGATAATTTTCGTGGAATACTCTTCCATACAGTGCATATAGTGCATTGAAGTGTTTATTAAATGAAGTAGTATGCATTAATAAATTAATTTGTGCATAAAATGTGGGCTTCAAAAAATTCGGTTGTTAACTCCATTTTGAGAATTTTTATAATAATTACTATAATAATAATTGAGTTTAATAATGAATAAGTGGTAGAAGAGAAGGTTCGTTTTGGTTAGTTGGTTTCACATTGATTTTGTTCTTTGCCAACATTTTCTGTCGGTGTAGTAAGCGCTTAACTCTTTTACATGCAAAATTAAATGATGCGCATACGCACGGTAAAACCGCAAATTATTTTAATTGCTTGTCTCGTCATTATTCATTATTTAAGTGCTCAAACAGCAGACGAGGCACACAGAGGCAGACATTGTGTGCATATATACATACTATACATATATATGTATTGCTATATATGTATGTATTGCGAGTATATAAAAGCCAGGCAGGGCTACAAATTGTCAGGTACACACACACACACACACACACACACACACACACACACACACACACACACACACACACACCCTCGTATATACAGCCAGCCAGCAGACACACACAAGCCGCTGTTTACATAGACATCAAACTTTTTTTTGTTTTTTTGTTGTGCCTTGTTTCTGCGGAAAAGCGTAAAATTGCTGTCGCTTGCCACATGTCTGCCTCTCGTTTCATCTTCTGCTCTTCTCTTGCGCTTCTCTCCTCTCGCCCCATGCGCTGTCATTTAATTAGTGAAAATAAGTATTAAATGGGCAGCTCTTGTTAAAATAAATAGTGCATGCAACACCACACACACACTCACAAAGAGAGAAGGACGAAGGAAGGGAGGGAGGGAGAGAGGTAGGATGAGAGCGAGGGAGCGAAAGAAACTGAGTGCCTGTATGGGTGTGTGTGTGTTCATTACAGCTTTCAACGGCACGCCAAAGATTTACAACTAATTAAAAAGTAAATAAGGAAAATCGATAATTACGCAAAGCTGCTGACCTCACGACTGACTACAAATTCAATTACTCATGCAAATGCGGTGCGGTCAGCCGCACAATTATGCGCAAATGAAATTGATTTCAATTTATGAATACGTTTTTGCTATTCTGACGCGCCTAAATTGCCATTTTGTATATTTAATGATATGGCACACAAGGAGCGAGCGAGAGGGAACGCTGGCAGACAGCGAGACGTCGGCAGTGTGACAGAGAGAGAGAGAGAGAGAGAGAGCAGCCACATCAGTAACAGCAACAGCAACACAAAGACAATAACAATACTCTGCGTTGCTCTGTTTATTTGGCCATTTTGTTGTTTGCACTCCACTTGCCGTTCGCCACGTTAATTTGTTTGACTAATTAAACTAATGAGCGTTCAAAGTTAATACATAAATTAGCCAGCAAGCTGTGTGCGATGGATTCTCGCTAAGCGTATTGAAGTTTGCACTTTTGATTGCAAATTGTTTATGAATAGGTGTTTGAGTATGCGTGTGTGTGTGTGTGTCTTTGTGTCTGGCTAGTTTGTAAATTATTGATTGAATTAGAAAACTCATTAAGCTGTTCCTGCTCACAATCATCGATATATTTGTATAACCAACAGCGGTAAATCAGGTGTGTGAAAATCTCTGCAATAGGAAGGTGAAGCATCTTCGGCCCCATACTTTTTTTTTTTTTGTTTTTTGGTAGTT